TCCTGGTGCAGTGCTGCTTCACATCTCTTAGGGAGCTCCGTGACTGAGTGGGCACTGGAACCCGGAATCTCTCGAGTCCTCGTCCAGCGCTGTAACCACTACACCACACTGTCTGTTATTAGCAACCTGTTCGTGTGATTATTATCACTGGCAGCATTTTGCTATCCTTAAACTGTTGGCACGTCAGAAACCCTTGTTGCTGATTGTCTGCAGATTATGGGGGGTGGGGGGGGGCAGACCCTGGATATTTCCCTCTTCAGGTTTATTGCCACAGGGTTGGGCCCCAAGAGAGTTCAACCAGCCCAGGGTGGCCCAAGACAGATTCATGGCTGAATGAGGATTTGTACCTGCACTGCTCTAAGCGCTAGGCAACACTGCCGTGACTGATCTGGTCATGGGCGGAATTCCTGATCAGGCTTCGTAGAATCTCACAGGGTTCTCCAGAATGCAGTTTGAAAACGTCCTCTTTACAATTGTGACATTCCCCACTAGAGTCTATGACAGGCGTGCAGAAGCTGCAGCCATGGGCCAAAACCGGCCCTCTGGGATACCCTAGGTAGCCACACCCCCTTCCCCTGGTCCCACCCACTTTCCTCCAGCCACCAATCATTGGGTAGCTTCCTTGTTTCGTGTGTGCTGCTTTCCTCATTCAGAAAGGTTGATGCCTTAAGACTTCATCGCTGGCCAGGAGAGGAGTGAGCCAAACTCAGCTGATGTTTTTGGTATTGTGGCTCCACCCCTTTTGCCTGTAGTCCCGCCCACCACTGGAGGGTCTCAGAAATGTAATTCCCTCCTCAGGCTGAAAGAGGTTCCGCACGCCTGGGCTAAGGGCACAGAACAACTGGCGTTACAGCCAGGGAAACCAGCTTAGTGCCTTGAGGCGAACCGAAGAACGAGGAAAGCTGGATGTGAGCTTCCAGATCACACAGGCCTCTTCCTCTACAGAGGACTTTAAACTATAAGCAAGCAAGCGCAAAGCCCCAGTGCTGGAAGGCATATTTGACTGTGTACCAGGCATGCCCCTGGCCCAGCCAAGTGGGCACCGGCCGCACGGCAGAGGGAACTAGGCCCTTTGGGTACATTGAAATCGGGTCACGCTCGTGAGGGAGTGAGACCCAGGAAGCCTGCCGTGCTAAACGCACCCGTGGGCTGTCGGGAAAGCACGAAGGGCTCAGCCGGAGAGGCCCCCGGTGATGATTCAGCACCACCCAGCACAAGCTCTCCATTGTGCGTGCAAGTTCCCAGAGCCGGCAGCTTTTCTTTCGGCCGTGGTTATGTCAGGGCAGCGGGCTGCAAATGTTGCTAGTCAGTCATGGGGTTGGTATCAGACGGGCCTCTCGGGCTGCCTGAGCCTGTGCCAGGAACTGAAGCACACACGAACAGCCCTGCTGGGTCAGACACGAGGTCCATCATCCCCTCCAGCATCCCCACGTACAGTGGCGGACCCTCTGACCTGAGATCGCCTAAGCGGGGTGGGTGCACCGCCTCTGCCTGCCCCAGTTCCTGAGCGACTGGCGCAAACCACGGGGTCTGGGGGAGCTCGTTCCTGAGCCCAGCTTCCCCCAACCCTCTGGCATGTTTGGACTTCAACCTCCATCAGCCCCAGTCAGAGAGATTGGGAACACTGGGATTTGCGATCCGCCGTACCCATAGCTCAGCAGGTTAAGTACGTCGACTTTCAACAGAGATGCTCTCTGAGACCGTAGCATTTTTGGAACATGTGGGTTGATAGTAACATGGAGCTTTTGACGGGAAGAAGGCCCAGCGGTGTGTGAATTTTAGTTTTCCATGGGACAGTCCTTGCTCCTCCAGCATCTCTCTCTGGTAAAGGAGATTTTACTGGCGCTGTGTGTGTGCGTGTGTGCGTGCATGCACACGCACAGGGAGACTTTTGCAATATTGTGTTAGCGTTTGCAGGAGTGGTCAGCTGCATCTTCTGCCCAAGCCGGGCCGCATCCTGCTAGGAGATTAAAGCCACAATCCTACCCAGCTTTAGACAGGGAAAAAACCTACAAGCCCCAGCATGCCCCAGTCAGCTGAGTGGCCCAAATTTGCCCTGGAGTTTACCCTCTTGCAAACTCACGTGGGGTGTCAAGCCAGATGTGGCAGCAAGCATTGTCACATCCCATCGAACCAGCGGGGTCCTCCTCCACCGTCCCCATCGCATTCCCCCTCCCACTCCTTTCTGTGTCTCTCTTCCCCACTCCCCATAGTCAGTCCTCATTGTGCTGCTTTGGGCAAGCACCTCTTAGGGGTTTTCTTCCCCCTTATATATTTTACTTCCCCGAAACCTGTTAAACCCACTCCTTGTGTGTGGGTGGGACCAGCTTGTCTAGGAGGGGACCAGTATTCACACCCTTGTATTTGCCATTAGTACATGAGTTGGGGTGTGTGTGTGTGTGTGAGAGAGAGAGAGGGGGGGGGGAGAGAGAGAGAGAGAGAGAGAGAGAGAGAGAGAGAGATTCTTCTTTGGCAAAGGAACATGGCCTAAATAGCTCATAACTTCGCTTAAACTCTTCCTGCCACTAACTGAGCCTTAAAAGATAAATTTCCACTTTCTCAAAAGTGAAAAAACAACGGCCAGAACTGGGAAGCCATTGAACGAAATGACTGGTGCTTGGGAGAAACCGAGTGAGGCCGTGTGCCCCAGGTTTGCTGGATTGGGCCCATGGTCCTGAGGGTTCTGCACCCCTGACTTAGAGGAATGAAGCACCAGGTGCATAATTGGGAAAGGGTATCACTTCTTGAATGGAGGGCAGTCCAGGACCCCCCACCCCCAATAGAGGCATTCTCTGCAGGCATCCCCCATTCAAGTTTGAACCCACTGCCAGTTGGGGGGCAGGGCTGCCAGGCTGTGGGAAGCCTGCAGCTATTCTTCCAGTGTGTGGCTTCCTCTGGGCCCCTCTTGCACCAACAGGCTCCAGGAGTGGCACAAGGAAGTCAGCCGAAGCATAAAGCTAAATCCTGCCCTGCAAGGGAGAAAACCGCCATCTGTTGCCTTAGCCATTTATGATTTCGGAACACTGCGATGGTACATTCTTGCAGTGTGTGTGTTACGAACTGCTGGAAACTGCCAAGGGAGCTTTGCTAATCGGGCAGTCAGATGAAATAATGACAATTATTGTTATTTTTGGGAGGCTGGGGAATGCTCAGTGGCAGAGCTCCTTTCTTTGAGTAAGAACAGGAGTGGAACTGGCCATCCCTATTTTCAGCTGTGAAATGCTGGCAGGATATAAATACGATCAGTTTGGAACGCTCTTTTGCATCTTTCAGTTCCTCCTTAGAGGCTGCTTTTCCGCACACCTGTTCCTCGCGGGTTTCCTGGAATATCCTAATCTCTTTCTTACTGCAGTCTTAAAACTGAAACCATTTCTCTCTGCAGGTGGAGCTTCACGTGAGGGAATGCTTTTTCACTTATTCTGCATGAAGGAGAAGGGTTCTTCTAGCAGCTGACCCAACTTTCTTCACCCTGACTTGCTAGCTATCCATGTGCAGAGACCTCTCTTTTGATATAGCAGTGTTTAATCATGGAAGTCTCACTCTGTTTGTGTACAGAGAGTACGAAGTAGCAAGGTGAAGATTTATTTCCTGAAAGCCAACCAGTCTGGCCAGTCTTCGGGCCTGTTGGGAGTTACAACACCAAACAACAACACGGTTGGGAGAGACTGTTTCAGCCCCTTGGTCTTCTCCCCATTTTGCTAGCTTTCTATGTGCGGGGAGCTGGTTTTTGTACAGAGAAAGCCCTGCCTGAAAACTGTCTGGTTTTGTTCACTGACATCCCCTGTGCAATGCAGGCTAATTGTGCTGTTGAAATAACAAAACGGTTGAGATGTCCAGCGCGGCTCTTAATTTGACAGCTTAACAGATGCTGTCCTTTGCTTTCTTTAAAAGAAAAGGTTGCTTGTCAGTGGTTGCTTGTCAGTCTTCCTTGCGGCTTTATCGGACAGCAGATTTCGGCTTTGGCGATCTGATTTGTGGCTTCGGGTCGAGGAAGTCATTCTCAGATAGAGAGTGCTTGTTACGACAATGCGCATTCAGTCACTAAGGAGGCCTAGCAGCAGAAAAGAGAATTTGGGAACTAAGGCAAGTGGGATGGGAGCAGGATGCCCTGCTAAAGCTCCCTGTTGGATGGGGACACCGTGTCTTTTGGCCCGAGAAGTCCTTGGCTGCACTCCAGGGAGGGAAAAGGCAGGAAGGGCAGAGAAAGGGGTCAGGCTTCACTGGGCCCCATAGCTTGAGAGTGTGCTCTCCTGGGCTGGGGGGTGAAAAGTTGGAGTCCGTTGTTTCCATGCTCCAATCCTGAAGAGGATTCCCATCCTCCATGGCCATAGGAATCCATGTCGCCCTCTGACCCATGGCTCTGTGTGCGTCTTTGTGGGGACAGGTGGCGCATTCTAAGCCCCACAAGCGAGCGCAATCCTAGGGACAGTCAGGGAGCACCCCCCACACACCCCTTTCGAGGGTGTTTCAAAGGGGAGCAGATGAGTGCTTGGCACTTATTGGTGGCTGTTGGCAGCTGTAGCTTGGATGGCTGCGATGGGGCACCGTGGAGAGCCGGGAGCGAGGCCGCGGGGGCAGAGGCTTGTGGCTCTGCCGCGGCATTCCTGGTTGTCCACTGCGGTACGTCGGATGCTGGACAAGACGCCCTGGAGTCCCAATGCAGCCGGCCAGCTCTCCGTACCTTCTCAATGCACCACCTGGGACTCGGTCTCGGGAAGCTTTCTGCATCTCCCTCCCATGGTTCTTGGACTGCAACCACATGTGTGCCTCGTATGGTCGAGCAATTCCTCTGGGGCTGGGAGGGCGCCTCGGCAGCTGCCTGGTGCTGAGCCCCGCCTAGCTCAGTATTCCTGGCACTGACTGGCAGCAGCAGCTTTCCGAGGGTTCAGGCAGGGATATCACCCTTCAACCGAACCCAGGAGCTTCTGTGCCTCTGCTGCCCCACCAAGTGAATCCCTCCGTACTTGTGCTTATCTGTTTGCCACTGTCCTCCCTCGCAGGTCAAGGACCGGGGCCCCGAGGCCACCCGGAGGTTTTTTAACTGGTTTTATTGGAGCATCAACTTGGGCGCCATCCTGTCGCTTGGGGGCATTGCTTACATTCAGCAGAACGTGGACTTCCTGACCGGCTACATCATCCCCACCATCTGCATCGGCGTGTCCTTCGTCGTGTTCCTGGGCAGCCAGGGCGTCTTCATCACAAAGCCCCCCGACGGCAGCGCCTTCACGGACATGTTCAAGATCCTCGCCTATTCGTGCTGTTCCCGGAAGAGGCCGGAGGAATACTGCAGGAACAGGTACGTAAGGGGACAGGTGCGCTCCCAGGTGTGGCACAGGGAGAGAGGGCCGGGCTGGCCTGCAGGTAGCTGGGCTTCGATCCCAGCTTCTGCAGCTGGGGCTTGGAGGGACCCTTCCCCAGAACTGCCAGCTGGTGGGGGGACCCTCCATCGCATCAGCCTCATCCGGCTTGTGCAGATGCCCCCTCTGGTCTGCCTGACCTCGCTCCTTTCCCTTTGCCTTGAAAAGGGGTGTCCAGGGAATACTCCAGCAGCCATCTCCCAAGCAAAGCCTCTTCGAGATGGCCAAAGCATCCCGTGGAGGGCCCTTCAGGGAGGACAAGGTCGAGGACGTGAAAGCGCTGGTCAAGATCATCCCCGTCTTCCTGGCTCTCATACCTTACTGGACCGTCTATTTTCAGGTTGGTCACTGGGATCTCCAGGTTTTCAGTCCCTGCTGCACGCCAGCAGACAGACTTGGTCTGCGGCCCTTAATTCAGACGGGTTCCACTGGTCTTTTTATTCCTCTTCTTATTTCCCCCAAGAAACCCAAGCCAGTGTTCATTATCTTCCTCCTCTTGGTTTATCCCTACAATAATCCTGCGGTGTAGGTTAGATCGAAAGGCAGCACCTGGTCCAAAGGCACTCAAGGAGTTGCAGGGCCAACGGGGATGTGAACCCAGATCCCCTGTGCCCCAGTCCCAGACTCTCACCACGATGCCTTGCTGTGTTCCGCGCTGACAGCTACCGTCATCTTGTGCTCTCTTCCAGGGAGGGACCTGGGAACTCACTTTGAGAGCAATGCCCACTAATGTTTCCTTTTTACCTTCAGATGCAAACAACGTACGTCCTCCAGAGCCTGCATTTAAGAATTCCTCAGTTTTCGAACAGTTCGGTGAATAGCACGTCCGGCCACACGGTAAGGCCTGGGCTGGGTGAGGACGGGGCGGGAGTGAAACACATCTGTTTCCCAAAAGTACTTGCCTGGGGGAACACTTCCTTGGTTACTTGTTTCGTTATTTCTATTCTGCTTTCCAGAAGATCGCTGCCTGCCTCAGCAGCTCATGTGGGTTAAAAAGAGAAGGTGCGGGAGGAGTTGGATGGCCCTGCCATCAGAGACAAAACTAACCATAGAAAAGAGCGACCACAGTTGTATATACACAAAGCCCAGAGATCAGGCCAGGGTCCCCTTCTCTCTGTGCCATCCGGCACTTTTGGGGAGAGAACCCCCACCCCAGATATCAGGGCTATTATAGGTGGACTGCGTAGATCCACTTTGTGATATAGAAATACAGGAGGCAGGCAGAACAGGCCCTTCCCATTCCGCCCTGCTCCTCTGCTGCTGGCTAGATGTTTTATTGGTGTCGTCTCCAGGAAGAACCACTCCGTCGCTGCCTCTTTGGCTGCTCACGGCTACTGTGCTGGCAAATGCCCTTCCTGGAGTATTCAGCTTGCATGTCTGTCATGCTAATCAGCCGTATTCATAATACATGATGGTTTTAATGCAGTATTCATGTGTGAGCCTTCAATTCCCCTGTGCCCAGCCTGCTTGTTATTAACAAGTCGGCAATTCCAAGCAATTTGGAAGAACGGTGTTTCAAGAAGCAGCTTGCTTCGAGGGACACGGAACTTCAGCAGCAGCAGGCTGCGTCCCAAGCATGGATTTTTGGGGACTAGAGCTTTGTCTTAAATTGTGTTTGAAAAATAGGAGCCATGCTCTTCCACTTGGAACCCACAATGCTTTTTTAAAATCTTAGTCCGGTATAATTTTGGATGTCCCCTGCTCCAAAACTGCATCGCAGCTGGGATCCACTGCCAAGTTCCACAGTCTGTGGGGATTCCTCTTGTCACCCAAGGGGAGGAGAAAGAGTGGATCTGGGACGGGCAGGGATAAAGATCCAGCAGGGGGAGATGAAGGTCCAAACCACGAGCAGGAACTTGCAGCCTTCCAGATGTTCTTGGACTCCCAACGTCCATGGGCTGTAGCCAATATGGCCAGTGGTGGGATTGGCCCCAAGGATTGTCAGCCGACCGGTTACGATTCAGCCATGTGACCAGAGCAGTACTGCACCCGAAGGGGCACTCATCAAGTTTGGGGATCATTGTGCAAAGGTTGTGGTCGGTGTGGCTCAGGGCCTCGTCCTCACTCCCTCGCACTTGCCTGATCAAAAAATATTTCTTGTATCAGATCCATGGAATATCGCATGGCATAGTCATAGGCTAAGAAAGAGGCTTTGCAATGCCTCTTTCCTTTTCAGCATTCTGGACGCAGCCCAAGAATTTCCTATCCCTGCTTCTGAACATAAATGTTTACTCACCGTAATGCAAATTTTAGAAAAAATAATCCACATTGTGTCATAAATTTGAGGAAGCTGGCAAGGTTCTCAAATATTAATGATGCCTTTTCACCCTTCCTGCTTGAACTTTTCCAGTGTTGATAGCACTGCTTGGAATGGGTGGCTTGGCCCGCCAAGTTACCAGCGTATAAACCTTGGCAAAGCTGACCTCTGCCGCGTTCTTGCAGGGAGGAATTTTAATGAAATCACTCTGCCTGTCTGGAGCCGAAAGCAAGGAGGCAAGGCTGCAGATGCTGTGTGTGCTTGTGTGCGTGTCTGTGTGTTTTGTGTTTGCACAAATGCCTATATTTCAAACACTGCACACACGCTCTCTACATGCAGCTTAACCTCTGCTCTGCTGCAATACTCTAATACGGCTTCCCATCATTTTGCTGAAGGCTTTGAGCTGGTGCAGATGGCACATTACATTCTTTTAATGACTTTGCAGCCTCAAGGAAAATGAATTCCTAATCTCTCTGCTTCTTGGGGTCTTTCTTGGCTTCCGCACAACGGCTGGTTAGTGCTGGTGGTTTACCGGCTGCTATACGAACCCCAAAAGTGATACAGAGGGTAATTTTGCCCCTTGGCCAAAAGCACAGTTTTTGTGGGTATGAAGGCAAGGCCAGGAAAGAGGAGGAAAGTTGGGGGATTTGGAATTGTGGTCCAGAACTCCTGGCAGACCACAATCGCAGAAGATTTCAGCTGTTGAAAAAGCTAATTCATGAATCACTTTGGCCACCCTGATTCATTCTTTCTGTTGCCTTCACTTTATTGCCTTTATTTTGAAATCCGGTAAGACTTCACGGTATCTGTGCCTAGACGCATCCCTCGCAGTAACACTTGGAATCTATGAAGCATACTTGGAAGTCTTGATACTTGGGAGCCTGCGATGCTAGAGAGCATGTAGAAAGTGACTCGTTCTTAATAGCTGCTGAATATTGCAGGAGGTTAGAAGACGGTCGCAATGCAAGGCCCAGACTGTGCGCTTTGAAATGCTTTCTAGCAGTGGCAAATGGCTGAGCAAAGCCATGCTGACGGACATGTGGCTCTTGGAGGGGAGGGGAGTAGCGGGGAATACGTAATTGACTCCTGACTGCGTGCTGTCACAACACGCCATCAATATTAGCTCTGATGGCTGTTAAAAAGCCATCTTTGTGTGTATTTATTTCAATCATTTACAGGGCTTTGTTTATCAGATATGAGTGGCGTAATCCATCATGCTGCAGACAGGTGTTTTCATGATTAATCGGGCTTAATAGAGTCTCTGCCTCCTGCATGACAATCGTGTTTTATTAACGAGATTCCGGGATGAGCAAGCGATCGATACTTTACAGTGAAAGTTAATGGCCCTCTCTAAGGCAAGGTGTGTCTCCCCAACACACTGGTGCACGCACACACGCACACTTTGGATTGCTGCAGGCAGACAGCTCTCTAGTCCCTAAATGTGCCATTATGCAGAAACCCATTTTGAATCCGTTCCAGTCCTGGAATTATGCATGTGTGGAGAAAGTCGATAGGTTTTTTTCTCACTTTTTTATAAGACTAGAATCCATTGGGGTCACCCCAAGAAGCTGATGGGTGGGAAAGCGAGGGAAGAGAGAAGGAAGCATTTCTTCATCCAGTGCATAATTAAACTGGGGGATTTTCTGCAATAAAATGTAGTGATGTCCACCAAACTGGGTGGGTTTAAAAGGAGGTCAGACAGAGATGTGGAGGCTGTCCGAGGCCGTTAGTCCTCATGGCTGTAGGCTACCTCCAGAATCAGAGGCAACGTGGCTGCATGAACCAGTAGCTGGGGAACATGGGTGGGAGGGTGCGATTGTACTCCTGTCGTGCTGGCGGGTTTCTCCTGGGCAGCTGGTTAGCCACTGTGTGAATGGGATGGCGGAGCAAGTCAGATCTTATGTTCTTAAGACTGATCTGGTGTGTGTGTGTGTGGGGGGGTGGCCCCATGTTGGATCTGCTTTGCCTTCCCACAGGTTTCTTCCCTATATTCCATCCAATTAGGATCATGACCTTTTTTAGGCCCCTCCCTCCAAATTCAGCTTTCTGGTTCTGACCAAATGCTTTGGACTCTAGTTCCCTTCCAGTTGGATAGCATGTTCAGTGGTCAGGGATGGTGGGAGTTGGAGTCCAAATGGTAAGGCACCAGCAGGACTGATGGTTTATAGGACTCCGGAGAACAGTGCCCAGTGCAGAAGGTTGCAGGCCTGTCCCCTCCCCACCTTCAGTTAAAAGGGTCAAGCAGTGGCTGAGAGATAGTTTGGTCTCTTTGGAGGCAGCTTCTTCCATTCCCAGCGCAGTCGGAAGTATTTCTGTTTTGCTGTGCTGTTGCTGTTTGTCGTCGTTATTTTAACTTCTATACCACCCAATAGCTGAAGCGCTCTGGACTGTTGACAGCCGTTCCTAAGCAGAACCATAACACAACCAAAGATGTTAAAAATGCCAATACTGCAGAATTTTGAAAGAGTGGGAACCTTTTAGAAGTCATGCAACTTCGAAAACAGCGTTTGATACAAAATTAGGTGTGCCAGACACCAAGTGAGCCCTTACTGGAAATGCCTCAGCACAGAGGGGGCACAGGGAAGATGGAGCTGGTGCCAGGTGGACCTTCCCTCAGCTGGATCCCCGGTTTAGCGAGGGACGGTAGCTCCAGAGCAGAGCTCATGCCTGGCAGAAGTTCTTGGGTTTCTCCCCCAGCATCTCCAGTTTACCCAAGGTCCAGGTGGTGGTGATGAACCCCAAATGATGGGGGTGCTGCTTATCTTTTCCTGAGAGCTACTCCCAGTTGAATAGGCAGTCCTGGTTGGATGGTGGCCTGATCCTGTATGTGGTGGCCACCTGCATCCTGATGTTTGTGGTCCACGGGGTCATAGCAGGTAGAGAATCGCAGGGGCTGTTGAGAAGAGAGTGGTGTTCTTTCCCACAAATGAGAATGAGAATGAGGCATGTGTCTACAGCTGAGACTCCTTAAGCCACAAATGGTTGCCTAAGTAAGATGAGAGTTGGGGTGCAGACACCCTGGAGGGGCATAGGGTGGTGGGGGGAAGCCGTTCGAAGCTCTTCCCCCAGCAATGCCCTTGGCTCAGTAGCAATAGACGGGCTTACACTGTGGAGGTAGCAATAGTTTCCCAGTTCTCTGGTTGCTGAGCACCCGCAAGATGTCTTTTAATTCCATGTGGAGGAACAATGCACCATTCTGGGGAGTGACAGCTGAGTCATGTTTGGAGCAGGGCTGTGCTGACTTCTCCTTCCCTGCCCCTTTCTCCTTCTCTCTCTTCCCTGCAGTTCCCGGCAGCCTGGCTGACCATGTTTGATGCGGTGCTTATCCTTCTCCTGATCCCACTGAAAGATAAAGTGGTTGACCCCATCTTGAAGAGGAAGGGCCTCCTTCCATCCTCCCTGAAGAGGATCGCGGTCGGGATGTTCTTTGTGATGTGTTCTGCATTTGCAGCAGGTAGGGAGAGAAGGCGGGGGGACCGTGGGGACCATCCGGGCCACTTGGAAACTGTCCGTGGCTGGCATTAGGGCAGCACTGAGGGTCAGCATGGCATAGTGGTTAGAGTTAAGGCTCTGCAGTGCTGCAAAACTCAAGCTCAGCAGAGAGTCTGAATGCTCCGGGTGCGTGCCAGCTTGAGCCCGTATCCCACAATGAGCTTTCGGGACTGTTTTGTGAGTGTTTCAGTGCACGTTTCTTCAAGTCTGGGCGTTTTTGGTCTGCCTAACCTACACACATTTGGCGAGCAGTTTTCTTAATATAATGCCTATTTAAATAAGATTTCCTCTACTACGCACATATTTAATTGGAAAATTCCCCTGTAAAATTCAAAGACATGTGACTGACAGATGACACTATGCAAAGTTTTGGGTTGAATAGTGGTTTCAAAGCATAAATTTAGGAAAGTTTGCACTGATGTAAACTGCACATATTCTGCTCCTGTTCTTAGGCTCAGGCATGGCCTATTCCAGCCTTTCCCAAAGTAGCCACCTCCATACTACAAGTCCCATCATCCCTGCCCATTGGCCATACTGGCTGAGACTTGAGGCGAGGGCTCCCTCTTTGTGTGAGAAGCCCAAAGCAAGGTTATTTATCTTCCTAACAGCCCCAGGAGGTTGGTTGGGTCAAAAGATCTCGCTTGCCCACGGAACTTTTGCAGCTTAAGGGTGGTGCTCAACTTGACTCTTGTTGAAAAGTCGACTCTTGTGGAAGTCTAACATTCCAGTCCCTACACAGACCCTGGAACTGCTGCAGCGGGGTCCTCGCCGGCCATTGCTTTGCTTTGGCCTTGCACGTTAGCTTTCTCTACATGCTGCAGTGCAGAAAGAACTTGGTCGGGGTGTCCAAGCACTGTAAATCTTCAGTGTGCTCTGATTTCTGGATGATGATTTCCACATGCCCGTGCGGCTGGCGTCGAGCAGCGAGCCCCTTTCTGCAGTGTTTCATGGGCTGCTCAGATTTTCAGCCGAGTCCCCGCCGCAGCCGACGTATTGATAAAGCATTATAGCGCTAAATCAATTAATCTTGGGAGCTTGTAATCCTTCCAGTATATCAGAGAGAGGGACACTTCATAGGGCCATTAAGACCATCTCTCGACGAGAGAGGTAATTACCTTATTAGGGACAAGGTCATTTTGATATGTGGGCAAGCAAAGTTCTTACCGCAAAGTCATTTGAACTTAAAACAACAATATTTCTTCATTTTTTTAACCTGTGCCATTTCAGGAGCTAAATATAGGACTGGCTTGCTTCTGCTTTGACTTTTGAACATCTTTTAAAAAGACAAAATTATATACACTAAGGCAAGCCTGTTTTCTGTGATCCAGAGAAATAGAGCAAGATGGAATATTTTGCATGCGTTCCTCAGTTTGGGATCTTGCCATCCCCACCCCTTGAGAGTTGAGGGTTCCCTGAGAGATCTTAGAACAGCGGTGTGGAATCCAGGGACCAAATGTAGCTTTGGGGACCATATTTCAGTGATTTGCAGGCAAAAAGTCTTGGTCTTCTCCAGCAAACACCCAACTATCTTAACTTGAAGTTTCTATTGTTGCTAACAGCTGGAGAAAAAGCTCCACAAAAGCCAACCAAACCTCACTGGACACGTTGGGGGAAAGAGATAGACCAGAGGATAGGAACAAAAACTTTAAATAGGAATACAGACCATCAAGGCAGCAAGTATCAGCTGGCAACCCAGAGGTTCCTGTTCAGTCCATTGCTTCCTAAGGAGAACTGGACTTATCCTGCTTCACACCCATGTCTTAAAAAACTAAGCCTCCCAAATCTTGTCCTCCAGCCCCACCCGGCACTCTCCCTGGCTTTGTGGGGCACATCCTCAAGGCATGAACATGTTCAGGATGCCCCATCATGCCAAGCGCATGCGATGCAGAGTATTTTTGGCCTCCCAATCCAGATCCTTCACTTAGGAGGCATGGTAACTTCCTGTTGGGAGGCATGGGAAAAAGCGGGTTTTCCCATGCCTCCTCAGATACTCTGCCCAGGACTTTCTACATTGACAGTTGCCCTCTACATTCTTCCCAGAAACAAATGGGAAGGCAGTGGCAATGTTTTTAAAAAAGGGGGTGGGAGAAACACATTTGCACACGTCAGATAATAATCCTGTTCCATGTTCTCAACACGGCCACGTGTTCAAATGCTCATGGAACACATTGGTCTGAAGATGCTTCTCTTCTTCAGGAATGGATAATAATCATACTGGTGGCCAGGTGACCCAACAGTAAAGATACAAACTGGGCGGACAAGCACACAAGCCCCCTTTCTTGGGCTGGCCGCTTCTTTCGGGTCTGTGTCTACGCATTGATATGCCATGTGGAACACACGTCCCCGAGCTCTCCAGCCTCCACACCAGCAGCCACTCCAGTTGCAATTTGGATTGTCTGTGAGAGAGTTTCGATTATGTTTAAAATATCTTATAAATTGTGCAGGAACGCGACTGATTAGATTTAAAGCACGTTGGCTGCGCGTACGCTCTTGGTGGTGTCGTCAATTTTTAACCAGCAGTATTTAAGGTTACTCAGCCGGAAAATCAACTTCATTTGTAGAGTTTTAAAACAATTATAGCCAAAAAGAAAAAAAAATCCCAAAGTTGAAATGGCAAGAATTATTTTCAATCTTGCCCTGAGACTTAGTTCTGTTCTAATTTAGTATATCCAAGAATGGATAGATTCTTCTTGTTGTTGTGGTTACATTTTTTATCCTGCTGTTTTCCTTCTTCAAAGAACCCAAAATGGTTATATGGTCTTCCTCTTCCTCAGGTTATTCTTACAACAACCTTGCGAGGTAGAGTGCTGGAAGTCAGTGACTGGCCCGAAGTTCCCCAGTGTGCTCCTGGCCGAATAGGACCAGAACCCAGATCCCTCAGTTACTGCACTAGTCCCAGTCCAATAATCTAACCACCGTATCGCACCAGCTCTCACAACAGCCCTGTGAGGAGGGTCAGGATGAGAGCCACTGTTGAAGGATGAGAAGGAGAGAAGGAGGGATGCTGCCCTGGCCTCCTTGGGAAAAGATGGGATAGACGGGCGCAGAAAATGTGGAAAGGCAATGATCTTCCATGTGTCTCCCTGCTTCTCTTTCAGGGATCCTGGAGAGTGATCGGCTCAAAGTCATCAAAGTCAGAAAAATAATCGATCAGAAGATTGGGACGGCGGTGTACCATGCTGCTGACATGTCCGTCTGGTGGCAGATTCCCCAGTACATCCTGATTGGTTTTAGCGAAATATTTGCCAGCATTGCAGGTGAGTTTTTAGCCAAGCGTGCCCCCATTGCGGGGACTTAACCATCACATGTCTAGGTGGAAAAGCCCCACAATTCCTAGCATGGCCCAGTCAGGCACAGCGACTGTGGTATTCTGGGACTGGAGCCAGACTTTGCTGTCTCTATGCCGGCAGAAGTGTGTGCTCTTCTTTATGCTTGTGGCTCTTTCTCCGTGGCAGCCACAGGAGACCCTTCATGCATTGTGCAGGGCCAGAATCCAGACTGGCGCCAAAGGGGGCCGCATAGGTTGCCACCAAAGCTCCCCCCCGCACACACACACACACAGCTGCTCTTTGCAGCCATTTTGTGACGCAGACTGCTTCAGACTGTTCTTCAGTCCAAAGCGTTATTTCCGCAAAAAGTGTTTGAGAGCAACTTGCAGCCGGCATCTTTCAGCTGATGAATCTGGAAGGCAAGGATATGGGGTGAACTGTGGAACTCTGGCCCAGCGTCTCACCTGGGGCAGTTTTGGCCTCCTAATAGGGAGACTCATAGGCCAGTGGTAGGGAGCGTATTTTGCGTGCCGGAAGGCCCAGCCTCATGGCCTTGCTTGCTCACTGAGAAACCGAGTGTGGAGCCTCAGTAAACCCCAGGCCAGGCTCGGGGCTAGGGATCCCATGGGGCTGCAATCCAGTGGAGGGCTGAAAGGGAACAGCAGCACAATTTGCCCTAAGTCTTAAATCCAATAGCCAGGGAGGGTTCAGCTTTTTAGGATGGGGGGTAGGACTCCCCAAAGAGAGGCACCAATGATCAGGGAGACCCCCGCAGGCTGGACTTGGTTCCTGGGTTGGCAGTGTGCCTTCCAGTTAGGTTTGGATGGCAACACCCAGAATTCCTAGTCAATGGCCCTGCTAGATGAGAATTCTGGGAGATGTGGCCCAAATGCCTCTGAAGGCCACCCGGTTGGGGAAGGGCCTCAGGTAGCAAAGCTGGGGAGATCCCCGCTTTGCGGAGCTCCTGCCGGCCATGGCAGGGCTGGATGGATGGATGGATGAGCGATGTGCCTCTATGGACAGCCGCTCCGTATGATCTCAGGGAATGGTTAGAAAATAGCCGCCAGAGTCCTTGAGTATCTCCGTGCCCAGCCAGTTCGATGTAGCGGCCAACATCTTCGGCCCCTATCGATTCTCCCCAACCTCTCTCTCTCGCTCTCTCTGCCCCTCTCTCTGGTGGAACCTACAAGCCAGAGGAATGAGCATGGCCATAAAATCTCATTTTCTGGTCTGTTTCACACACATTCAGGGTTCATTAGCAAAAAAAGAAAAAAGAAGAAGAAATAAATAGCCCCAGCTCTTTGCTACTGTTTCACACACGGCTTGGTTTGCCGTGCCTTCTAATTAACTGGCTGCGCTGCTCTCCTTCCACTGCCCCATCCCCATGTAAACATTGTTGTTTAGCTTAGTTTCATCGCACCCCTCGACGGGTTTACAAGGGCATGGCTCAAAGCCAGGATTTCCAGTGGTTTGCAAGGTAGCCTGAATCCTGTGAAGCGAGGAGGGATATGGAACAAAACAGCCCGGTGTCAGTACAGAGCCATGGTCTCTTCAGCCAAGTGCCGTCTGCTCCAGGTGGAGGCTATTTCCTAGGGGTTTCATGCTAGGGAATCTTTCCCGGCCCACCTCCCTAAATTCCATGAACCCAGTGATGGGAAACCTTTGGCTCTCGAGCTTCCCCCCTGCCCCCCCCCCAGTCTCTTCTCCTTTGGCCCCTCCCACAACTCTGCCCCTCAGTGAATTAATCTTTTGCCTGCCTCCAGCATCCAGCCCCTTCCATCAGCTTTGCACATCCTCTCACCAGCTCCACCTGAGAAGCCTCAGCCTACGGCTTCCCAAGCTTTGCTGCAGAAGACCGCCTCCTAGGAACACGCCATGTTTTGCTGGGGGGGGGGTGGTGGTGCAGGTTGCAGGCTCTCTGCCAGAATGTAGGACACGGAATGATCAATTCAAGTGGCAACAACCCAGATTCAGGCTGGACATCAGGAAGAGCTTCCTCACTCTCAGAGCAATACGGCAGTGGAACCAGCTGCCCAGAGAGGTGGTGGGCTCTCCCACACTGAAGACATTCAAAAGACAGCCCTCTGAGTGGGATGGTGTCACGTGGTGTCCTGCAACAGCAGGGGGTTGGACCCCATGGCCTTCATGGCCCCTTCCGACTCTACTATTCTAGGATTCTGTGTAGTCACCCATCCCACTGCAGGCCTGCACCTTTGCAGCTTAGCAAAGGTGACTCAACAGACTAACTTGATGTCTAGCTATGCAGGCTTAGTTAATCTAGGATCCAGTTTGGTCTTTCTGCCAGTCCAGGGTATTCACACAGCTCCCCCGCAGTACCATGTTTTGAGCCCATCATTTTCCTTCCTGCCCAGGTTCACACCCATACATAGTGATCAAAATTCCGTAGGTCTTCTGCCTCTCACAAGGACAAATATCCTCTCATTTGTTTCATTAAAAAGTTTGGAGGCAACTCACCAAGCCAAAATCCGTCTCAACAGTACCAGGCCGTGGCCACCAGATGGCGATCGTTTGGCTCCCTTGCAGAGGAAAAACCCAGGAGTGGTTTTTATCCTAAGGAAAGCCGATTCTTGCTTTGCTTTCTGGTACCCGGAAAGTCATGCTGCAAATACTGAACTAGACCGAATGGTCTTGCTTTGCTTGCTGATCAGCACACGCCTGTTCATCTTGGACAGACAGAAGTTGTTCCCTTTTGATATTAAAGTTAACCTTTCCATCGCAGAACCCAATCACACTGCCATCGACCTGACGTACAAACCTAAATAAAAATGAAGACGTCATAATCCACTTTCAGTGCCATTTTCCTTGGGAGAGTGGTGGAATACAAACTGAGAATCTTATGCCCTGCCTCTTTCGTCATGCAACTCACAAATGCAAGCCACTCATTTTTACCTGCTTCCTGTTCATTTAAGGGATTCTATTTTACGTTTCTATAGCCTTGAAGGTCAATTCTTCAAAAGAATTATCTACCATGACGGCCACCACACTCCCCGGAACAACTGAAAAATAATTTGAATTGCTTTTTTAAAAACATTGTTAAAAATACGATCTTAATGTGTGATTTTAGATAGCTTGCATGTTGCATTTTATGAATTTCTTATGTAAATCCCACAGAGATCTTACGGGGCATAAGTATTAAAGTGCTCACACTCACAATGTGGCTAGTTTTTTTAAAAAGCCACTTTTACCTGGCTCCCATTTGGTGGACGCTGGAGGTCTCACTGAAGAGAAAAGTAGATTCCCCAAGCCAAAAGTGCAGCTACTTGGTTTAGGGCAGCCTTCCCCACCCGGGTAGCCTTCAGAGGCATTTGGACCACATCTCCCAGAATTCTCATCTAGCAGGGCCATTGACTAGGAATTCTGGGTGTTGCCATCCAAACGTATCTGGAAGGCACAAGGTTGGGGGAGGCTGGAGTAGGGCTTTCAAAGCTTGCTTCAGCATTCCAAAGCTATAACTTGAGACAGAGGCTCTTGCAGCCCAAGCCAATGGGAGGAAATGCAAATTTCCCTGTTTGAACTGAGGATTTCTTGCTGATCTTAATTGCTTTTTGACATTTGCCCCTCTTGTTTCATTTGTGCTATGGAGCTTTCGTTTCAGTCTCTGGAACTAAAAGGCTAATGATGAGAAAACGGGCATCTTGAGATGGGAGTCAGAGGGTCCAGGAAAATGGTTGAAGTTTGAATGTTTTCATGGGTGTGTAGTGACACTGAGCCAGAAAGCTCTTTAATTTGCATAATCAGTTAAATTGTGGCAACTCCTGTTTTGAAAAAGTGGGTGTTCTCAATTTTGTATGAAGCAGAGACCAAGCTTAAGCTTCAAACAACTTTGATCCATTGAGGTCAGTTCCACTTTTGAATTATGTAGCAGTATACCTTTCATCATTCTACATATTCTCTTTGTTGCCTCAGTCTGTATATGGCAGTCTGTTCGTGCAAGTGGCAAGGAACCCTGCACAGTTACCACAGTTCATGGTTTTTCTTTTACCATGATCTCCCCAAACAGTGCAGTGGTTTCTATGTTATCATGATTTCCATCCTCTCTGCTCAGCCCCTTCATCAACTGTGTATATCACTTCAGCCACTGTACCTGAAATTCAGTCCCAAGGTGCATTGCTCCCTGCTGATGTTGCCTGCCTCTTCCTAATTGTTCCTTCCATAGAGGCTGGATGGCTGCAGTGACTCGCGCAGTTGCTGCTCTCTCCGAGAGACTCTATGGTAATTGCATACAAACGCCAACCTGGCTTGTTATGTTTCCAAACCCAGCCTATATCTCAAAGCCCCTTCTTTGATACTCTTGCAGGGATTTGACACATAAAAGATTTTGACGTCAGGCCTAATTTGCAAACACTTTAAACAGGGTGAACAACTTTGGGTGATCCAGGGATAGCCTAGATCAATGGTGGTGAACCTCTGGCACTTGTACCACAGCGGGCATGCAGAGCCCCCTCTGTCGGCACGCGAGCCAAGTCGCCCCAGCAGCCGCGCATCGGATAACAGCCCGCATAGGGGCCATGCGCATGCTCAGAAAGGAATAGCAGCACCAGGCGATGACGTCACGAGCCGCGACTCACTCGCTGTGACTCACCCGAGTTTTCGCATGGCTGGTCAGTGCCCTGCCAAGGATATATTTACTTGGTCTGGCTGTGAGGTTTTTTTTCCCTAAACTAAAACCTCAGTTTTCAGGTTTTCTTGCAGTGTTGGCACTTTGGGATAAGTAAGTGGGTTTTGGGTTGCAGTTTGGGCACTCAGTCTCTAAAAGGTTCGCCATCACTGCCCTAAATCCCCTGTGTCAGCAGAAATAACAATTTAAAAAATGATTGCAAACCGCCATGGGGAAAATATCAAGCGCAGAAATAGCTTGTTTTCAAGCTACATTTGTCCTTAGTACACATCTGGAGCCTCTTCTGCCCAATTTGGTGGGCAGCCTGAGGCATGTTCCCTGGTATAGATGCTCTTTTAAAATACGATACCATGCTGTCGACAGCCCTAGATTACCTGTTTAATTAAACATATTCCTATTGCTTCTCAAACCAGATTTCCTCTCAGAGTGAGATTAAATTATTTACTCTCAATGTGGCTCATGCAGAGTTATCAATTTCCAGAAATCTCTCTCTCTATTTGGTTTCTTTGCTAAAGAAATTATCAGTATTACAGTACTGAATTTAAGGCTTATACGTGCATAGCTTGAAACACTGGCTACACGGAGCATTGTCCTAAGACACAGCTTCTAAGCAGAGCAAGAACTGTATCACTCAGTGATAATCAGTGTGAAGCCCTAGCCCTGATCTTAGGCAAGTAAGGACAGAGAGGATTCTGGAGAAACTTCCAAGGGCGTGTATTTGAAAACTTTCTTTTATATACATTTTCAGAGACCATCCTATCTCTTTACATAATTTTTACTTCTTTTATTTATGTTCCCTGATGCTACATTCCTAAAGATGCATGTTTATTCTCAGTCCACATATACTTAAATAACAGTGTTGCATTGCAAATGATTTGAGCAACAGCAATATAAAAACATTTCCTAATCCCGTAACATTTTACAGGCCCATGTTGTGAACAGACTCAGACCTTGTCTTCTGAAAACTCATCTTTTATATTTATGATTGAAGAAGCACACTCTTGTTGCCTTACCTAATGGCATACCTGGTCTCATTATTAAACTAATTGTTTTACAGTTATGCTAATTATTTCATTTACTTATTTAATCATGTTTTTATACCACCCAATAGCCAAGCACCTCTCTGGGTGGATAACAGAATTAAAAGGCAACAGTAATAACAAAACACAACAACAACAGCAAAGAGCAATAAACCACAATAGGACTGTTCATTTATGATAATCCGAGAGAGATGTTTGCAGGAATCTAACATCGGCTTTGTGGTTAAGAGTTCCAGTGAGCCACTTAACCGTTCCCAAAGGCCTGACACTTCTGTTCGATGTTTTGGAAGCGTCATAGATAAAACAGATGCGATCACTTTCTGTCCAAAGGCCAAGCTGTGTGACAGGCACTATTGGAACCCCGGGGAGGGGCGGGGGGTTCAGTCCAGAATTCTGTTGAAAACATTTAAGTATTGATCTTCTAATAGGGCAGGAGACATAAGGTGGTGAAAAACAGAAGGCTTGCCTCAACTGCTTCAGATCTGTGACTTAGCAGAACCTGACCTGGGCAGTGGCATGGAGAGGTTGGGCTATCCTATCCTGAGGGTGGTGCCGTGAGTGGAGGCCCTGGGTGTCCCGGGGGACAATTTCTGCTTTCGGCCTTAAACAGCTTGACTGTCTCGTCTTAAGTCTTGGAATATCTGCGAGGATGCAGGAGACAAAATCCTTCACAATAACCAGAATCATAGCCTCTTTAACTTAATTGATCAGGAAGTTAATTGAAACCCAAATTTCCATGGCCCTTTTGCACATGAAAACTGCAGCTCTGAGTACAATGCTTGGAACTGTGCTGATATCTCTTGTGTGTGTTCTTTTGTTTCAGGTCTGGAATTTGCATATTCCGCTGCTCCCAAGTCCATGCAGAGTGCAATTATGGGCCTCTTTTTCTTTTTTTCGGGAATTGGCTCTTTTGTTGGCTCAGGGCTTCTGGCATTGGTGTCAATTAAATCGATTGGCTGGATGAGCAATCACTTTGATCTGGGTAAGTTTGTATCTTCAGTGCCAGCACGTTGCAGAAAAATAGAGAGGGTGAAGGTTTCATCTGATGGCTTCATTATGGCTCTTCTTTAAAAAAAAAAAAAAAAAATCTGCCCTACAGAGACTCCCAGCATGCCTAGCTGAGGAAGGATGGAGGACTTACTCCTGTCCATCTGGATTGTCCAAGAGGCTCTACCCCCTTTCCCTCACTCCATCCATTTCTCCTTGCCTGCTGTCATTTGAGGGCTCCCTGGCTTTTGTGCACTTTTCCCCCAACCCAGAAGCCTAAAATGTCTCCCCAGCATCTTAGTTAGAGGAAGGGGCATTCAGCAAAGACACGCTGGTCCCTTTGCCCTGGCCTGCATTTGCCCTCCCCACCCCCCCGACTTCCATCCTGGCTGCCATCAAAATGCAGCCTTGGAGCACTTCTCTGAAGCTCTCCTTCGACGCAAGAGGTGCCTCGCCCCTGAGACAAACCTCTGGCGAGGCCCAGCAGGACTCTACTTCTGTTCCAGCATCAGTGAGGGACATGAGAAGCGCGCCCTCGGCGGAGTGAGTGAAGCTGGCGCCCCTCTTGGTGGGCATCCCGGAGTCAGCGTGGCTGGGATTCTGAAGAAGCGGGAGGGGACCTTGAGGCAGCGGAGGTGGGGGGGTTCGGAAGCCAGACCCTTGAAGCCCCCTCAAGCTCACTTCCCACCACTTCCCAGGCCAGCCGAGAGAGTGGGGATGTTTTGGAAGGGACGGGAGGTGTCCAAGATGGGGAGGAAGGAGAGCCATTGCCTTGCCCAGTCCCGACCCCATGAGGAGGCCTCCGGAGAGATGAGCTTCCCCGTTAGAGCCCAGCAGGTGGAGCCCGCAGCCTTCCTGGAAGGGAAGGATTGGGAAGAAGACCTTTGTGTGAATTCAGCACTCTTCACATGAGCAGAGGCTTCTCTTGCAGCTTCCTAGAAGGCTTTTAACTACATTTGTGCGTTCCATTTTCTTCCACCCGTCCTGGCAATGCTGCCCTCCATTGACTGGGTTCTCCCTGTTTCCCTGGCTACTTAATTTAGTCTGCAGTCTCTTGAGTACCGGCTGCTCTCCAAAACAATCAAATGATTTTTACAAGTAATAGTAGTAGTAATAGAGATTTTATAATAATTTCCCCACAAAGAGGAGACTGCTACTTTTTAAATGGTCTTCATGTGAAATATATTGTATCTTTAATATCCACTGAAGAGCTGGCTGTGCACTTGTTACTTTTCATTATAAATTCATCAAACCGACGCATATGTCTCAGTAATTAAAGTAATTTCACCTTGACATGCAAGCAAGGGTGGATGAGAGCAGAATTGTTTCTCCCCTGCCCAGTTCTGTATAATAGCTATAATAGTGCAGTTGGCTAGACCTCAAGAGGCTGATTGGCCGCTGTTCATGCTCGGCAATGCGGAGACCGTGTCGCACCCCGGAGTGTTTCCAGATCGCCCCCGTGCCACCCAGCAATATTGAACCGAAGGGCTCGGATACAACTGGAAGGCCCTTCCCAGAATGCACTGCAGAGGGGAAACCAAGAGATAGACCCCCTCACCGCTGTCCAACCTCACAGCAATGTTAGCTGCCCCGGCACACATTAACAAAGGTCCTTCCCCAGTCCTAAGAAAGCGAACTCTATACCTCGGCTATTGTGAAGCTGTAACTGAGGGGGGGACCCTGTGGTCCTCTGGATGGTGTTGGACACCCCCATACCCTACTGTGGCTGGGGACAATGGGAGTTAGAATCCAGTCCATCTGCAGGGACCACAGGTTCACCTCTCTGGCTCCATTCGCTTTGGCTCAGCTATGTGGGAAGGGAAAGCTTGTGAGCTGAAATACTCTTGGTATTTCGACTCCAGTATCTGAGGTTTGCAAGATTATAAAAAGTCATCCATCCTTCCGGTACACATGCAAAGGACTAGTGCATGCCCTTTTTGGACAAAATATGGCCAGGTTCCAACTGCATAGGCCTGCATCTTTGAGGAATGGAATTAATTTGTTTTATTTGTATTTCCTGCCAGGTACTTAACTTGGTTCTTTAATTCTCCCCAGGTAACATTAATGGCTGCCATTTAAACTATTACTTTTTCCTTCTGGCTGCTATCCAAGCAGCAACCCTTTTGCTTTTCCTTATTGTCTCCGTCAAATATGACCGCCAAAGATCCCGGACTAATGGAGCTGCTGGTGGGCGGACCTGACAGGACCTGTAATGGAAGAGCAGGTCATCTGACTGGCGTGTGTCCTTCACCGAGCCACCAATCTGCAATGTCTTGAAACGCTACTCAAGTGGGACATGTTTGTATTTTTGGAAATTGCATGGTGACGCTGAGTCCTTGCCTTGGCCCTCTTGTTTTCCCTCCCTTCCCCTTTAAAGGTAGGTAAGTGCCTTAAGTCAACAAGATAATTTCGACTGTCTTGCTAGTGCCCCGACGTGTGGCACAACACCTAATTTTCGGCTCTTTTACCCTTTGGCATGAAGGATGCACCATGGCTGTTCCAAGCTGGTTTTCTCTAGTTTGTTAAAGCCAGGAATAGTCAGCCTTTGGAAGCTGAGTTAACAAAGCAATGGATTCATTTCAGTCCTCTAATGCAGAGCTTTGAAGGAAGGTGGATGAAAACACCACTCGATTTCCTTTTATTTCTCCCTATCTAACGTTCCTCTTCAAACTGAAGCCACGCAAGGTAGTTGGGGTGAAAAAGATCTCTTATTGAACTTGGCGCTGGTGGGAATGAGTTGGACAAGACTTTCTTCCCTACATTGGACAAAAAGGGATGCTCTTTAGGGGTATATATTTTTTGTAAGCAAAGGTGGAACGACAGGCTGTGTTGATAAAAAAAAAAAGCCTTGCTGTATGACTTGGTAGTCTTTCAGCTGCTATACGGTGATTTTTTTGGCTTGTTTTTTGTACATGTTAAATCATTTTAGGGTATGAAACTGAGCTGGTATCAGAATTTTGGTTTGTGTGTGTGTGTGTGTGCGTGTGTGTGAGGGGGGAGGTGCCACATACTTTGAGATTCTGGTTTTTTTTAGTTAGAAGTTGAAACAAGCAGCATCATTTGGAAAATAATGTGTGCTGTGAATAAGGAGATGTGTTGCTTCCCCGTTGCAAGGTATGCATTCTCCTTTAAAAGCTGATGCACCGGAGGGAGGAGTTAATGAAGTATTGAAATTTCATTTTGTGTGTGGCTGGACAGAAGTTCTGAAGGGCGTGTGCCAATTTGGGTTGTCACAAGTGGAACGTCATTTTGAGACCGGTGCGGTGATTGGTGATGGGGGATTGTGAGAATTGATCAGTGGCTGGTGATCATGAGGGAACTGGAGGCCCTGGAACTTATACTGAATGCCAAGCAAACTTTTTCCGCAGCTTTCTCCTATGTGGGTCTCAGTTAAAAAGCCAGGTGCCAAGGACAAAACAGTTTTGGACATAAATCTGAGCTGTTTGATTGAAAGATGGACAATAACTGTTTTCAGCTTTTCTGATAACAAAAAGAAGGACTAGAGTGTCAGACAAGAGGTTTTGCGAAACGATGGCTCTTTATTCTCACGGGAGCTTTTTAAGTGCATTTCCTCTGTTATCCTTGGCAGTTGCATTGATGACAGCAATACATAAAAGCGGTATTTTGCACAGAAATTGCAGAGTCCCCCAGAGAAGGTGAAGGAATCAACTTCATCGAATAATGAATGATTTTTAACCATTTTACGGTGTTTTAATTTTTAAGCATATTGGGAAGAAAGAGAAGGCTACCTTTGGTTTCTGTAAATCAAGTACTTTCATTTAAGCCTGTTTACAAAACCCTTGTGCTGTGAGCCGATGTTCCAAGGTGAATAAAATTATGTTGCTGGAATTCTCTTCTCTGCAGTCCTGACTTCCTAAAAAATATTTTCTCCTCCAGTTTTTGATCTTCGGTGTGCATGCTGTAGTTCCCTCCAGCCTGTCATTCTCCAGAAGCTTGGGACTACAACTCCCAGTATTCCTGCCACTGCCCAGTCTGGCAGGGATTGCTGAGAGTTGAAGTTCAAGGCTTCTGGAGAATGCAAGATTGGGGAGATTTGATGCAGATACCGACATTTGCTGATATTGCCAAAGATGAAAGGAATCCTGCTGAATGAAGCTGTTCTCAGGCTGAAGGCAAAGCTATTTGACAATCTGTTCTCACAGGCAGCAACACAGATGCTTTCCAGAAACCAGGCCTGGATGCACCAGTGTGCTGTGGATGATGGGATCTGTAACCCAGCATGTCCCGGGTTCGTCAAGCTGGAGAAGGCTGGCACAGCGCTGCCATGGCTACAGTTTGGCCGTTTATTTGCTCAGATTCTTTCAGACCCTGTTTGAATTCATTCATGACATCCCTCTAGTGTGAATGTTTTTATTCCTTCCGTTGTTTTTTTTGTTGTGTTCAAACATCTCTCAGTACCCCAGGGAAGTGACTGAGCATGCAATCAGTTGCATAATTTTACTTCTATAAAAATAAGTTAAATATGCAATGACTTAACAGAGGCCCGACTGCTAGAAATTATGACCATTTATGAAGATGAATTTGGCACTTGTCAAAAACAGAAGGTCTCTTTTCATTCAGAGTTTTACAAGATTCCCTCTCTGCCAGCTTGTGCGTATATTTGTGTGCGTCTTTTCCCTTCCCCGTTCCACTCCCAGAAAGACTAATCCATTAACTTTATGGCTAATTAAAGAAATACCTTGCCATGCATCGTTTAAGATTTATAGTTGATTTGGCTTCACAGATTGATTTAATGTAGCAGAAGCATCTCTCACATTAAAGGGATGTTTTGTGGGATGCTAAGCAAGGCAGGAGTTTCTAAATTATTAAATCCTAGTCTTAGAATTCAGCAGTACCAGCCTTGGGCCCCAATTCTGCTCGTGCCCAGTCATGATGGGTGTAATAGCCCAACTTTTCTAGGGGGCATTTCTGCATGTATATGGGAGTCAGAATGTAGTTTGAGGGGGGAAATTTCCTGCAGGTAGAAATCTAATGCATGAAGGTTCTGACCTAGCCTCTTCTCCATGCTAGTTTTCTACATGCAGGAGTTCTATTTTCCCATTCAAATATGTCCACCACCCACCTGTAGGCTAAGCTAAGTGACAGATAATTTGCTATTTATGTGTATAATTATTTCATTGGGAAGTTGTATCATTTCTTAATTATTTGTCTTTTCTGCAAACCATTTAGGGGCCTTAGGATATCAACTGTGGTGTGTTGGACCAGGGATCTGGAAAATCGGGGGTCTGAGTGTCGAAACAGGGATGAGGTTCCCTGGGAAACTTTGGGCCAGTCACTCACTCTCACACCTTGCAGGGTTGTTTTTCCGAGAATAATAGCAAGTGGAAGAGAAGTATACAAACTACCCTGGGTTCCTCACAAGAGGAAAGAAGGTAGACTATAAATGCAACGGGCTAATGCTAAGGATAGAGGGGTGTATGAATGGTTTGAGTTAATTAAGGGAAGGGAAAGAAAAAGAAAACCTGGCTTCACTGCAGCCTGCTATTTCTCAGCTCAGGGTCCTGGAAAAGATGAACCATCTCAGCAATGCTATCCACACCTCCGAAACATCCTTTTCTGAAGCCAAGAGGCAGTCATTCTCTCTCTCTCTCTCTCTCTCTCTCTCTCTCTCTCTCTTTGTCTCTCTCTCTCTCTCTCTCCCCCCCCCACCGATTCCCACCCCCATTTTTCTTTAGCCAATGTCATGTTAGTGGAACCTGCAACAAAATGTTGCAGCACAGAGTGAAGGCTGCCCAACCTCTGCCTTGCCTTTTTCCTGGTGGGCATGTTGTGAGCGGAGCTGGCTGGAGCTGCGGGTCAGACTAGAAGGCCCGGGAGGCCCCTTCCGACTCGCTCTGTTTCTACGTTTTTCAGATGATTCCTTCTCCTTTTCTATTTCCACCTTCTCAACAGTCTTACCGCAGATCAAGCTTCATATGCACCGAGCAGTTCCCCCACCCCGTTCTTTGCATGCTTCCAGGGGAACTGGGCGTTCCCCATCTCAGCTGATACCCCCCTTTTGGGCACAGAGGATGCTGGGTTGGCCACCGGATGGATGCTGTGCCCCCAAGGAACGAGTTTGCCATTCCTTTATGTGATATAACATTGTGCGATTGCTGAAGAGGCGGAGAAAGAATGAAAGAGGCCCCCACTAAATCTGGAAAAACCGTGCCCCGCGGGGGTTTCTCTTTCCACCAGGAGTTGCTGCTGGTCTAGTTCCTGCTTGCAGGTGAAGCCAGCATGGATTTCAGCGTCAAGGCCACCCCAGTCGGCAAGGAAATCAATTCGCAGCAACTAAGGACCCATCTGGACAGAAGCAGACTTCATTTGCAGATGGGGATAGGATTAAGCCGAGCAGCTCGCTGCCGTCCCACCACGTTGTCCTCCTCGGGACCAGCAGCCACGGTGTGAAATTGTTTCGTTCCCTAAAAAGTGAGTTTCATTTGGACACGGTGCAGAAGGGGTAGAACGAATCCAGCAAGCGAGAATTACAGGCTCCTGTCAATCTTAAGGTTATCATAGCCCTTGTAGCCGGTTACCTTCTCAGTGGCTTCCCTGGGGCACCTTCGCATAACCTGGTCCCTTCCCTGTTATATGGTCAAGTCCAAATGACTTAAAATGCTATTACTTTCCAGTTGTGTTTCACTTCTGCCCAAAGTCACATGACCATTCTCTAGCAATGCAAAGAAAAGACAAACAGCAACAGGAGGCTCAACTTTTTGGATGCATTCCTAGTTGATTTTTATTTTTCCAAAGATCCTGGCCTCCTTATCATGGAGCCATGGGATGCATGCTGAAATAGGAAGTCAGAGAGGGAGTCAGCCCTCCCTGTTCCTTGCCATGACTAGCGAGATCAGAACACATGGTGCAAAGTTGTCAGATAAATTATGCAAAAGCATCACAGAAATTAGACAGATTTGCATAATATATGCAGGCTACAGAATCCAGCATTCCCCGAGGCAGTAGGTATTCGGTTTCTTTGGGAGGAGAGTGGTTGGTTAAGTAATTTTAATTTTCAACCTCATGACGAGGTATGGGTGTACAAAACTTACAGGTTTTTTCTATTAACCTTTATTATGATTTTCAACAAAGCAAAACCCTAAAGAATGAAACAATGTACTACTACTAACAGTATTTTCCCCCAGAAGTGAAAATAAATCGCTATAGGTATATGTGAGTTTCGGCACCTGACAATGGATAGAATCTATGCTGGCCTTTAGATTGAATAGATTGATAGATTTGGCTGGCCTTTCTTGAAGCTTGCGTAGAATTGTTTTGGTTGGTGGCTGTATTTTCTTATGCACATACATACACACTTATAGGCACGTGTAGCAGAGGAATATCTTGCTCTTTAGCAGTGAATGTGTCTGTTGACTGGATTGATATTTGCCCCATTTTCCGTGCATCCTCGGGGTTTGTTGCTTTTTGTTCTGCCGCTGCAATGTGGGTTTTGGAGTCTGACAGTCCCAGCCTACACATGTTCACTCAAATGTGAGAGCCGCTACGTTCTATCGTGCTTTCTCCTCGGATAGTGTCCATAGGCATCAGCCTCGCCAGTTCAGCTCCGATCCTCTACTCACTTACCTTTGGAGTAAGCCCCATTGAAGCCAGTGGGGCTTCCTTGCAGGTAGACCTGTGCAGAATTAACTAGGCCATTCTCTTGTGGGGTCCAAGACCCCACTTAGCCATGATGCTCTCAGCCTAGCTTTCCCCGCTTGTCCTCAATGGAATAGATGCAATTATCTATTCCACTGGGGAATATCAGTTGAGCTGAGCTGTTTGCACCTGCATGAGGACAAGAGTGATACACAGAGATGTGACTTTGCATCTAAAAAATAAGTCTCACCTTTCCCTAGCCAGACTTTTGCAAGGATTCGGTATGTTTTCCTCCTCCAAGGAGGAGAAAATATACCACTTACTGGGTGTTGGCTCTTGATAGCTTGATGGCCTGGAATTATGTGGCCATGAAATTATACAGCCCAGCCTTTTGAATCTCCGTTGAGCACCAGTGTTGACTTCATCTGATTTCCTGGACTGATCTTTAAAAGTAATCTCCCATCATTAAGACAGAGAAAAAGGAAGGCTACCAGTAGATAACCTCTGGCTTGAATTACTGCGGGGAGACACCTCGTAGCAAAGTGCAAAATGATACCTTTGGGGAAGCAGCCAAGAAATTAAGCTTCATTTGCCAGACAGGACTTTTGATCTGCTTGACACAAGATTTACATGCCCTGTTAGGAAAGGAAGGCTGGCATGCACGTCGCTCACGCTGCACCATAAACCAATTTTAAAGGCTACTTCCTGCCGCTTCGTGCAGCTCGTGACAAATCGCAGCCAGAGGTGGCTTTCGGGGCCTCTGGTGGGGGAAAGCGGCACTCACTTCCCCCGGCTAGACGGCCTCAAGGCTTGCGTCGTGGTTGTTACCCATGGTCTGCCCCCAGCCCAGTCTCGGGGGAACTAGGCCAATAAGGAGGCGTTGACATGGAGAGAACTCCTCCTGTCCCCCCTGGAGCTGAAAGTAGCAGAAGGAGAGGGAGCTTTGAAGGTGGAAATAGTTTGGGTCTTCCTCTCTTCCCCCGCAGTAAACAGGGCAGACTTTGTCTTGTGGCCAGCAGATGTTCATGGGTAGGGGATTCCACTGCAAGAAAAGCTCTCCCAAAGCTTTGTCCTTGAAGGGCACCCACTTTCCTGAGGATCACATGGAATATTTTTCCAAGGGGACAAATTGCATGATAACATTAAGAACTGCCCTGGAGCGCATGCCATTCATTCCTGCAAGTGACGTGACTTTTTGATATCTGTCTCTTGAGTTTTGGTCAAGTATTCAATTTGTTGAATGCTGTCCATGG